TGAGTTCCCACCCTTTCTTCTTCTGTTGTCCCCTCTCGTCGCGTTTCACGTTTCCTGCGGTCGCGCATACGCGGCCACACGGCGTCCCATGAATTTGCATGAGTCCGATCTGTCTGGCGTTCATCCAAAACGAATTTCTGTTGGCGATCTTCCTCGTGACCGCTTCATTCATCGATCCCAACCACCGACAGTGACTCGATGAGTGTTTACCTCGCCACCGATCCACGATCGGGCGATCAATCTCCGTTTTGGTAGCTCCAACATCGAGAGACCCGCTCGGGGAACGATATACATCGTTAAATCATGGCGATACTTTGTCTCGCTGCTGGATTTATGGAGCTTGTTCGGTTATGACGACGAGGAATAGCGCTTACATTTGCTGACGTTTTTAACACAGAAGATAAAAGGATAGACTTAGTGAGTTGAATATTGGACTAGGGAATTTGTTATTGGAAATGTTGGTTAAGATCTTAAGAAGATCTTTGGCAAATTAATTTGTATGCAGCGCCTTTGTAGAATTCATTCTGTATCAAACATGAACAGACTCCGATTGAGAATTAAATTCTCTCTTAAATTTAAGCTTAGGAATCCAGGGTTTTGTCACAGAAGCTCCCAGGGAAACTCTTTCCAGTTTTGTATTCCATCCCCTCTTTACCAGCGATTTGACTCGGATTAAACTCGTGATGCGCACAGACTGAAACATTTGCACGTAGGAATTTGGAGGAATTTGTAGAAATTTGGTTATGGAAACTCGCGAGTGAAATCACTTCGATAGCTATTCTCATCCCAAGTATCGCAGAAGCCAGAAATTGTAGAACTACAATGTCGTAGTTCTAGCTAACCCTGAAGTGGCAACATTCCCAGTAGCGATCATTTCACACGACTGTCCGTAAATCCGCGTCACGATGACCGTTAGCAACAGTTGGAGACAGCGATAGCCGCACTTCTTGTATCTCCAGAGCGAAGGTCGGGACAAGAGATTCACTGGGTGGTTTTGCGGTTGAGTTGTCTAGAAAGCCGAACGTTGAACGTACAACGATCGAGGACGAAACCAACGACGACTTCTTGATATTTCTCTCGAACATAAGTCGCCTTTGTGTTTTTGCTCGTTTTGCAAAGGCTAGGTGCCGCCGTGGCCATAAGATCCCCATGTATCTGACGTAAGATGGATATCGTATTCCCTATAATGCATAGCCGGCCGTATCGTGAATTCCGTGAAGAAGAGAAGGGGCTTGCGCCTGTTCCGAAGCTTGCTCACGAACTGTCTTTTGCATAGGTTATCGTGGAAGACCCAGGATACGGTCAGGTCTGGCATTTTTTTCGCCCTGGCCCTAACTTTATAGTCGCAGCTTCTTCTTTCCGGTGGCCACTGTCTTGCTGACCTTTTTATGAGTTTCTTCCACGTGCCTCCTGGAATCATTGGTCGAAAAGCAGGCTCTCGCACAGAGGAATCTTAACTATCCCATCGTTGGAATTTTCAAGTAGCTTAGATTTAATTGGAGCTTGTCTTTGCTGCTGGTATTGAGAGATGAACGATGTCGCATATGCTAGGAAACCTGGCAAAGAAGTGGTCGTGTAACTATCGTTGATCACTAAGGATATGAGAATTGGGCTAGGTAGAGTTATTTGAGTCAAGCTAACTTTATATTATAATTACAATTCCTAATTTCTCTTGTAATTCGTCAAATTCGGTTGTGAACAATTTTTAAGCGATTTACTGTACGTTTCAAAACAGTCATCAGTTTATGTACAATTTATCGTCCATAGCATTTATGGCAGGGTAAATTTGAAATTAACGAGAGAACACAGTTTTCGTATTTAATTTTTCAAACGGTAAGATACAAATGACATTTAATATATGTAGTTTCAGATTAACCTGATATTCGTTTATCTGATCACAAGTCTACGACAAATAAAAAGGAAAGGATTTATTTCTGGTTTTGGAATTCGTGTAATTTTCATAAAAAGTTATGACTGCCTCATAGTTGAAACGAGACTTTCCACGATTGTAACAGGATCATGTTACCAATAAACATAAATTATTCGTTAGGAACGTTAATTAGAATACGCCTAACAAAAATGTTTGAGTACGTTGTGTAACGATATTAATAACGTCCTGGAGTGAATGCCACAGACGACGTTTCAATGAGAATATTTTCAAGGAAGGAATGCCCGTTTTTCGGATGGCTTCGTGATGGATTGGGTAGAGTGTTTCGTGAAAGGCGAAGAAGTCTCGAATGGTGGCCAACGATCCGCCCCTGGCTGTGCAGCTGATACTTACATCTGCCGCGATCTTATTGCCCTCCCGCGCTTATTCGTCGGCTGCATTCGTTCGTACTTTGTCGGCATGATTGTTACAGCACGAGGTGTTCGATGTATCGACCTCGATCGAAGCATTGTTCCGTTTACAACTGTGGTCACGCAACGAACACTGGCGCGCTGCTTCTGCTTGACATCGTCCGATCGCTCGCAGCTACTCTTCTCCACGGTTTCTAATCGACTTTCGAAAGTTACTTCCGACTCGTTGCGCTCCGAATCTTTTTCTAAAAAGAAATACATACTAGTCCAAGAAGAATTAAAGGATCTTGCGAGCAATCGAATAGCTTCGTTCGTTGTTCAACAGACCTGGACTTACGTTAAGAAATCCAATTCCATTGATTATAGGAAATATAGTTGAAAATTATTACAAAAGTTTACAGAAATTGGCTGATATAGTGGGACTCAAATTTTGTTCCTAACGGATAACATAGAAGTAGAACGAAAGATTCCACAAATCGAAAGTAATTCGTTGTTTGATAATGAATTAGAACCCAAATTAAAAAATTCATTTTCGTGGATTTATAGAAATATGGTAAAACATTGTCACAAGCGCGAAGAAATTTTTTGAATACATGCAAAGAATATTAGAAAATAAAAGTTTATTTGGTCAGCGCACTGTTTACGACGACCAACGATCTCTCCTATGCACTCAGCTCATAATCGACGGGAGAAGGTGGACCCCTGATTGTGCGGATATCCGTACCGGAAGAACGCTTTACGTTCGCCTCTAAAAGCCAGTCAATTTTCCACGAGGAGAAAGGACGCTCCACAAACAATTAGAGTACTTTCCTAGGTTCATGCCGCTCGTTGTAACTTCTAAAGCATTGAATCTGTTCGTGAGAGGTCGATTTACAACGTCCAGGAAGCGTATACAACTCGACTCATCGCGATCGTGTGGTGAACGCGATCAACGTTGTTTTTCTACGAGAAAACATGGCGATGAAAGTTGTTTTCTTATGAGAAAACATTGCGACTCTTGGTTCCTCCTCGAGCTTGCTGTTGTGGTATGCAATTAAATTTTATAGAAATGACGTTTCAATACGCAAACGAGCAGTTTTACGATACGGACATCGCGAGATTTCGACGATGAGCTGCGTGTAAACCATTCGTTACTACCGGTTAAATGCGAATGGATTTCTACAAGATAATCATCGTTATTTGTTCCACGGTGATCTTAGAAATATCCGTGAATCTTCTCAGATACTTTCCAATGTTCTATGACTTTTGTAGTATTTGGAAAGGAACGCTTTGTTCTCCGCGATGTTGAAGTAGAAACTCGGAGGAAAGCTCACGTTTTATTCTTATTTCTTCTCTGTCAAGTTTGAAATTAAATACTAGTGATTGAAAGCACGCTGCTCTCGGATTTCAACGTTCAATAATGCAGTCAAGTAGGAAATTGAAATGAAGAATTCAGTAAAAGTGGACGAGAATATGAATCTTTTCAACGTTCGATAATTAAATCAGAGTCGAAAGTATTCAGTTATAAAAACATACTTAACCCGTAGACAGTAGAAATTGGATCATGTGACATATATGTAGGTTGATATTTCACGTTTATTGTCGTATCGAACTGTATAAGAAATTTAATTTTTTAAATAAATCGGAAATAAAGATTCCTTTTCCTTGATTCTTCACTTTCACATAGATATAAAGTAAAATATTCAACACTCGTAACAGCGATAACTAAGTATCCATTTGCCAAGGGTGAGAAAGCAAGGACTAGAACGTAATTGGAAGTTTTATAATGTGTCTTCATTATTAAGCAAGCCTTATGTCGTAATACTAAAATAACAATTTTCTCTCATTATCGGCAAAGAAGTAACCCTTAATCACGTTTACAAGAGATAGGGGTCTGTTTAAACCGCTATGTCGAGTATTACATCGAGCAGCAACGTTCTCACGCGTGTCTCACCTTTTTCCTTTTTTAAAGGGTCATTCGTTTTCGCACGATGGGCGCGCCTGTATCAACGAACAGCTACCTCAGACCCACACGGATTCTTCTTGGTAGTACGAGTGAAATTTATGTGGTCGAACGTGCGCGAATCGACGCACGTGTCCCACGAAAATTTCACTGATCGATGACGCGTACGAAACACCGGTACGTCGACAGGAAATTAATCGACTGTTCGTGAAAGGGGCGCGGCTGTTATTTTTATTCCAAAAAATATCGCCATACCGTGTGTGTCCAGTGAATTTCCGTCAACACTTACAAAAGCGTCGCTCTTTTAATTCGAGCTTTTAATTCTCTGACACACGCGTGACGCTCAACACATTCGAACGTAGAACGTAATTCGACATTGAACGAGCATTTTCGGGCGTGATATTTCACGTGTCTCCCCTGTCCCTATCCCTTGACAGATTTTTTCCTCCTGTGTGCAGCTCGTCTCTAATTTACGCGATGAAAATTCAGTTGGCCGGACCGAGCCGAACGAACTGCAATTAAACGAATTATAAAGCCTTTCCCAACCATCGTACCACGGAGACAATTAGACGATAAATTACGACGATTCCGCTTCCGCAAACAACGCGACAGGGGGAACCAGTGTTATCTATCTCACTCGATATTCACAAGTGAGAGAGAGCAAGAGAGAGAGAGCGAGAGAACAAAGAGAGGGCGAGAAAGGACGTACCGTGGCGTGATGATCGTTTTCGGTGTGAAATTTAATGAAACGGCCGGTCGCTTTCGTTGAAAGAATCAATTATCTTTTATTGCGTGTCTTTCGCTATTACAGAGCGGTAGTGTGATAACGTGCCGTATAGAATGAAGTTTAATTAAACGTGTTAGCGGGTCGTTCGCGACCCATACTCCACAGTGAATTGCTCGTTGACCATTACGAGATAAGTTAAGTTACGCGGTCATTTTTCTCGGTGTTTGGCTAAAACGATACAACGAGAATTATAGTGTCTCTAATCCGGTCATCCCTGTGACCCAGATGCCTGGATAGCTTCATTCGTGGATAGCTCACATCCTTTTCCAGCCCAATCGTCTCTCGTTAAGTTGCAAATGAACAAAGCGAGGAAAAGACGATGGCCGATGGCGCTGGCAAATTTAACGCGCTGCAATCGAAACATGGTGCAAATTGGAGATTTTATTAATTTGCTCTACGACGAGGCACTGCCGATGAGTTATGGCTAATGAAATCATCAGAACAGTTAATAAGTACAAGGAACAGTGACACTGGATCTCAACCTGAGCTTATTTTATTAATGAGTATTACTTGCAGAAGCTGGCTCGATTACTTTCCTTCTTAGGAAGTTGCTCGTAACACGAAGCAAATACGATATTCGTAAGTGAAATGCAAGTTTTTAAATCGATAAATTGTTTCGCTCGTTCTTGAAGCAAATCTTCTTATCTACGGGATTCGTGTTTCTGTCATACGAGCTCGGAAGCGTTGAATTTCACTTCCTCGCGATGTTCTTAATATCCATAGGATTGCTACCGTGGTGAATTTATACAAATTGTACATTACATCAACGAAATAGTATATAGAATTTTTGCCTCCATTTTTGGAAAGTTCTTCTGACAGATAATTTCGAACTTATAATGGGCAGTGCAGTTCCACTTGCTCTGAGATATCCATTATCTCATCGGAGCTTAATTCTCAATACGCTCGCTACTATTCTTATATTCTTTATTTCATTTTCTGTTCTCCAATACGAAGACCTGGCTGTTCGTAGTCTTCTGCGCGTCCTCCCTTCGTCTCCTAATTCGCGCTGCCAGGAAGGGGAAGAACAAGTTAGGCTCTGGTTCGCGAGCGTTCTTGTAAAATATCTTATTCGTGATCAGGCTGGTTACGTAGCCCACGATCAACGTGATTGCCAGTCCAAGTGGATTATACCACATGTACGATATACGATACAAATAAAAGTACGACGAATCGTCCGCGGGGCTGAAAATGAAAATGAAATTCATTATTGAAATTATTTGAAACTTTGATTGATATTGCGATTATATTTTCTGGATTAAACATTTGAGATTAAACGATGATAGAAGTTTAACGTTTACGAGTATATTGGATACCGATCGTTGAATAAACGAGCCGAAAAGGACAACGAAAAATATGACAAAGCAGGTTAGAGGCGTGTGGCAAGGAGAAAGCAATATCATACGCAATACTGGAACGCGGCAGGCATTTCAAAGAGACTATAATCACGGTTTATTAACGAGTAATTAGCGTTAGTTACTATCGTGGGAAACGATGGGAAGCAAGCGGCACGTGAAAGCGGCTCTCGAGTCGAAAGAAATCAGGAAGTAATCGCTGCTTCTTAACCGAGAGAACTGGCTACCATGGTATCGTTCCACGCCCATCATATCATAGCGAAACGTTTGAACCGACGATAAGGCGTATCTTAGAACGATTCATTGCTGATTTATGTACCAATTATATTCCGGTATAACGAAAACTGCTCCCCGGTAACGAAATCTTCCGTTTCCGATAAATTCATCGCGGCTGCTCCTTATCGATTATGCCTAGAAGAGTCAAGAATCACGAAAATGAGGTGCTTACGATATGTCCGTATTTCCTACCTCGACGTTTCACTTGCAGTTTTTGCTGTAACAACGTTTCGAGAGAAAATCGGCTGGTGACACGCGTGTACGATATTTTCTTATCGAAAACGAATCTCATCAAAGCGAGGAACGTTCCTAAAAACGAATAATATAACAAAAAAAAAATGATAGATGTTGATCGACTTTCGATGGACGTGCTGATCATGTCGTAAAGAATTGATTCCTATTTCTGTTTTCAAATTTATAAATGAGAAGAATGGTTAGCAGCTAGAAACGATTATTTCTATGTTTTCTTATGATCGCTTGAAGCATAAATTGCGAATATGTACCTGTATTGCTCATGAAGGGGGATGAAAGAAAGCAGTGCTTTTATTCACAAAAAGGGGAACAGTTTTATCCGTGTAATTATTCCATGCATGCATAAGGGAACCAACAAACTTGATAACAGAGCAAAGATATAATAGCCACGGTTTTCTAATTTGCCTCCGGAAAAATTGCTATTTCCGCCTATTAAAGGCCGGCTTTCTTTGCTTCGAACGAACTCGTAAAACCTTTTACAGCATTGGTATTCTCGAATTGGCTCGCGATACGCACTTTAAAAGCCTCGATAACAAGCTCGCTTTCTTAACGAGCAAGAAACTTACTCTTCGAATAAAGTTGTGTTTTGACGATAGAGGAGTAAGGTGGAATTGTCGCAGCCTTCCACAGATAGCGGAAGATTGGGTGTTGGTGGTTTCGGTGTACCAAATACTGCCCAAATGCACGTGATCAAGGCTGTGCTAGTGCCAACGATGGCTCCAGCCTGATTTGCCTTTTCCACGACCATGCCTAGTGTGAAAATCCCCAAAATGGGTCCTCCAATCGCTCCAGAAATCCCTATGGCAGCTTCGACCAGCGGTCCCATCGATTTGGCAATAAAAGCCACGGCTAAACACGTGAAACCATTCGCCACAGCAAGAAATTTTCCAATTAACGTGGCCTTTTCTGTTGGAAATTCTATACTAAATTTACGACACGTGGGCTTTACATAGTCTTCCAAAGCTACAGCAGCTAGAGAATTCAACATAGCGGATATGGTGCTGAGACTCGCGCTGAATACACCGGAAATGAAGAGCCCAGTGACACCTGGCACTCGTGACATTCTTTCAGCTGCGAAATATGGCATTATCTTGTCGAAACTTGAGATTTTACCGGATGTAACTGGGTCGCAGTTTCTGTACACAGCGTAGAGGATTAGACCGCAGAACGCTGTCAAAGAACCTAAGAGTAAAGTGAGTGGGCCGCTGAGAATGAGCGCGCGTTGCGAAGATTTGAGACTCCTAATGACAGAAAATCCAATTTAGATCTTATACAAAATTTAAATCAATTAAAATATGTATCAGAGACCGGCGCATTTTGACAAATTGATTACGTCAAAGACCAAATAGTTTCTGCCGGACATGGAATAGTAATTTCTTATTTAATCTTCGAATCATTCATTATTTTATACTTTCGATACATTTTATTCTGCAATTCCTTAACGTATCTACTTTTTTACTTGCCATTCTAGAATTGGTCGATAGCGTACATCCAATGATTGAGATAATTGAGCAAATTAAATAAAAATTACATGAGCGGTCGAATAACATGTAGATAACGCTAATCGTGAGTATTCGAAGACTAAAGAGAAGCGGTGCCTGACTCGATATCTAAGCCACCGGTATCGAATTAATTATTATATAAATGATTATAAATACTCACTTGGCAGTGAGTAAGCGCTGAACTTGGATCTGATTAACCGCGTATAAAGACAGAAACATGGTAGTCCCACCAATCAGTAATGCCCACCATGTATGCCTTATAGTTGGATCAATCCTGAAACTAAAAATCAACAAATTTTTCAACTATCTGACCTCGTATAAATTTACTGATGTTCTTACTCGAAGAATTCTATTCGACCATCCTCTTGAGCGATGCTCCACACATTGGATAAGCCTCCGTCAAGGTCGCTAGCGGCGATACTCAGGACGCACAAAAGTGCGGTGAATATCAGTACTGCTTGAAAGACGTCGGTGATGAGGACAGCCTTGATGCCACCTACGGTCGAGTAGAAGGTGCAAATCAGGCCGATCAGCACGATGCTCATGTTCCCTGACAGACCAGTGGTCGCTTCTAGTGCCAACGAAGGCGCGAATAATACTATTCCAGTGTACAAAAGTAGCTGCAGGAAATTAGCAGTGCTGGCTAGTAGTCGTGCTCCTACTCCAAATCGTTTCTCTAGATACTGAGAGAAAGACAGTGTTACAAGAAAGCAGCTTATGTGTTAACTTATTGTAAATTACGAATTATGAATTGAAAATAGAGAATTGATGAAGCGCGATTGATTTATCAACTTCTGCCTCTAAACTGTCTTTCTTTTTTTTAATATTGCAATAGAAGATCACGATAAAAGCTTTGAAGCTTGAAACTGATGGAAAATAACTTTTTATAAAATGTGATACCATCTATTAGCATTGGACTGCAAATTATCTTTTTAAATGCTAGAAGGAAAGGATCACGAAGATGATCTTCGAATTTGAGATTATGGATCAACGATGGTTGTTAACGAGGTACGAGTAATTTATCCAGTCCTGATTTCAAATTGAGTTCATAAATACTGGAAGAGAAATGATCACGAAGGTTATTTCTAAGTGCCAAATATATAGTACGATTGATTGATTAGAAAATCATATACCTCATAGACACTCATGGTGTTCAATTCCATGAAAACGGGAAGATAGAGATACAAGACGATTGGTGTACCAAAGAAACCACCCAGGTACAACAGCGTGACTTGCGTGCCGTGAATGTAAGTTTCTGCGCTGATTCCTAGCACCGTGATCGCTGACATGAAAGACACCATCAGTGCGATCGATAAAGGAACGACGCCCATCGTTCGATTGGCTGAGAAGTACTCCTGTTGTAATAATCGTGAAACATTGGTTAACGCATTGCTATATTCGTTCGATCGTTTGAGCGTTGCTGCTGACACTACTGTTATGTTTTACTAAGTTTTAATGCGTTTCGACAAACTTAGAGATAAGATTATATAAAAATAATTGTCCATTTTACACAAGAGTGAATTGATCCTTTGATATAATAATTTTATTTGAAAGAAGTATTTCGATCTGCAATGAATTATTTCGACCGTCAATTTGTCCGTAGCAGAAGTAAAACCGAAAACCACGCTATCCATTCTGTGTATCGTTACTATCGCCTGATCGATCGTATTCTGCGAGTGGACATTTTACTCCTGGCCCTCTAACTTGATTCGTAATAACGTTTCAGCGTTAATTAACTTTCTGTCTTTGCGGTCGTTCGTGGAAGTTGGCTCGCGGCTAACCCGATAAATTAAATAGCGCTCTGGATAGTTGGCAATTTGTGTCGATGGCAATATTTATCGCGCGGCTAGATCGATCGGTGCGATAACGGTGAAAGATCTGAGGCATGGAACGCTGGACCTATGTCGTGATCTAAGAACGTGCCAGCTCTAGGTATGTACAATCCTGTTCTGACGCAGTTTATCACGGATATTGGATCGCGCGGCGTTGTAGACTCGATGTCGATTCGATCGTCCGTGGCGAAATTAATTTTCCAAGGGCTTAACCTCGGCCGTGCGTTGCCTGCCTCCGGTGAATCGGTAGTAGATCCCAATGCCGGTTGAGATCGACAGCATTAGACCGATGACAAGATAATCCGGCCATTGAAGCGTCGATGTATCATTATCCTTGCTCTGCTTCTGCAAACGTATCCCCATGTTTTCCCCTTTTATTAAACTCCCTTTCGAGTAAATTGTTGGTTTTCCGATTCACTCGGTCTACAACAACACTACCTTCGATTTTATCCCAACCCTGGTGAATCTCTGTTTATCTTAGCTCCGCGAGATGAGATTAATTCGTGATGTGTAGGGTGAAATTAGCGAGTGGAATCGATTAACATCAGGTGAAAGGTGTGTAAATGATGGATCTTATTGGATGTTATTAAAAGGACATTAAAGGACGTCAATGAATTTAGAGAGAGAGAGTAATTAAATTGATGCAATTAAGATTAACCGAGAAACATGTCGATAAAGATTCAATCGTCCACCGTTCACCAGAGTTGAACTACAGGAGAGAAAGGCTATCTATTGGAAGATTTCTATGGAAAGAACACTCACGTCCATTCTATAAGATCCACTCGTGTGATACCATCAACTCGCGATGGACGAGAAATTCGATATCGCGAGCTTGTTTGCCCGAGTATCGTGCTTCTTCCTGAATCGTTTCTGCGGCGACGAGGGAACAGGCTGTGAACGTAACACACTGGCGGCCGATGGTCCCAACCGTGAGCTGATAGCACGAAGAAAAGGCGCGCGCGAATTCTCAGAGAGAGGATCCCTTGGAGAAGTCGTCACCTGCGTGTTTTGTGGTCGAGTGTGTTCGTTCGAACGAGCAGAAAAGAGGCGAGGATGAAGCGGTCCATTACGTAAAGCTTGGCTCAGCATATTTCCTGTCAAATGCACGCAAAGCCTCGCCACTTTAACGAACGTTCGAAAAACGGTGGTAAATTCAGGTAATATTCAGCCAGCCGGCTAAGCGTGCCAATGGACGAGGAAAAATATGATGGAGAGAGAAAGAGAGAGAAGGAAGATTATGAAGAAGGTGGTTTATAAATTGCAGGAGATTATAATGGGACTATTCTCTCGCCATAATATAAATCATGTGTCTGGAGTTCTGAAAAACGAAACTTATGATTTAATGACTGTTTAATCATGTAAAGTCAATAACGTTGGTCACCCTTGCGAAAGAACCAGTCCGATTGGCGTCGATTCGTGGCCCGATTCAGAGTCACGAATGATAATTAATCTCTTAAAGGTTAATGAATTCAAGATAAAGAGGAATTTTCGTCTGCTGAGCCAATTCCTGTCTCGAGTGGGAGCAATAGGAATGCGAAAAAGATATTCGAATAGGGCCTTGTCGATAGGGCTATCGATCGTGAAAGATTTAATGATTTTAACGTTTCTTTGAAGTCCTTTAATTGGAAACGAATAAAGAGCTCAAAGAGAACATTCGTTACAAAGCGACGAAGAACCGACGAGTATTGAACGTCCAGTGGAATTCGCTCGAGGCGAATGCTACGCCACTGTTGCGTCGCTGGTGCATAACAATTATTCGCGAGACGGTAGCTTCTGGTCGTAATGTAATTTCCTAGTATTATGAGGCACAATCGAGGGGCCATCGGCTATTATTCCGAGAAGGGAAGCACCCATAGAATCGTCCCAGCAACGAGGATTCCTTGATCCATGGGAGGAACTCATCGATCTTTATCGAAACTGCCGCAAAGGTTATTTGGCCGATGGATCGAATACGTAAAATTCAATTTGATATACAATCGATGTTGATCTCCCTGATGAATGATATTTTTCTTGAATCCAACGTCAATCTAATATTATCCAATATTATTTAATAGAGCTCCATTCAGTTTCAATGGAATCTTGTTACGGTCTAAGATAGTCTCGCGCAAATTCAATGAAGTCTTGTCTGAATTGAACGAGATCTTATTTCACGCCCATCAAATAATCTGCTGTTAACTGCAATCTAACCTACTTGTGCATATTTTATTGTCGACGATCTGTTTTGGATTTATGCGCAAGTCCATGGGAATGATCGTGTACATCTTCGTTCACAAGTAGTAAGATACATATTGATTTTATAAAAGGTTTGAAAGATTAATCCGAATTATCAATGAAACGATTAATCGAACGGAGTTTTACTTTCATGCGGCGTAACACCTTAAAAATCTCAAAAAACTATTTGATTGATTTACAAGAGGAACGCGATGAGTTAAGAATTACGTTCGTTTATATATATATAATCTGAGATAAAATCTGGAATCAAACAACAAAAAATAAAATAAAAAAGTAATTCAAATATCAGAATCGATTAAATCAATAATCGATGTAACGTAATGGATGTAAACAAGGAAGAATTTAATTTCATTATCATAAAATTGATACGATTCTATAATCTATATAATATCTTAATCTAAGGTCTTAAACGTGATAATAATTCTTAAACGTTTAATGGCTTCCTAATAATATTTAACGTTTACTTAATTTTCTGCAAGCATCGTAATACTTCCTTATGAAGAAGATTTTACATATGATTTACGGAAATGAATCATCGATCTTTATCAATAGCTTACACCGAGATTACGATGGTAATCGATTTATGAGCATATTTTATGCGATGATATCGCGTTTCTTCCCGACATAAGAAGAAATCCCGGACCTGTTTAATGCAAAGAGATTGACCAACACGCCACACAATTTGTCGAGTTGAATTTATTCCTTCCAACGTAATTGCACGATGCATGGTACTCCGGAGGTTAATAGAGATCCCTGTTGAGACTCGTCCAATTTTCGACATTGTTACTTGACCGTTGGCTGGCTCGTTTTACGCCGATGCTATTCGCCGACGCTATTCGCCGACGAAGATGCAGAGGAGAAAGACGATGGACGACGAAAGAGGAGAAAAGGAGGAGCCCCGTAAGTGGCGAATTCCCGTCATTAAGTCGTTAGTCGGACGCAGGACAGCAGGCTAACCGTCGGTTAACTGGCTGCTGAACTTGATCGACCAATCGTTGACCCTCATGGTCGATCGAAATTTACCATGTGTTGCTGCCTTTCATCCCCTATTTGCTTTTTAATCGAGCTAAATTTTATTCCCCTGAAAGATTGATGGTACAGTGTAATGTAACGTGTGGAAAGTAGTAGTTGCAAAAATATGTTGATAGATTATAGGAATTTTTGTGAACATAGAAATTCAGTTAATAACGGGTAGTAATTGTATGAAGATCATAGAAATTTGCTTGACGAATTATAGTAGTTTTCTTGAGATCATAGGAATTTTTAGCCGTAGATGAATGGCTAAAAATGTAAAGAAGAGGAGTCTAAGTTTATAGAGGGTTAGTTAATCGATAAAGAAAATAAATTTGGATAGTAAAAATGCAAAACATGAGAAGATCATAGTAATCGTTGAACATAAACTGCAAAAATGTAGGAAATATATCTAAATTTATAGACGATTTAATCAGGCATTGAGAATTCGAAAAATTCGAGTCTGTAGAAGCGAAATATTTCTGGTTTCTCCCTCGCATCTTGTGTATTCTACGTGATGGAAGATAGCCATGTTGGTCAAGCTAATCGAGCAACTGGTGGTAACCATTTTCAAATATTGAATTTAGAGAGAAGAAATCTCTCTTCTTGAATCTTAGTGAAAAGTTTGTAAACTTGCGATCCTATTCTGTATGTCTATTTTACGATTAGGTTGTTTGATTTCTTTTCTCTATTCGTTGCACGAAGAACTTTGTTTCCATCAGATCAAAAATAAATCTTGAAAGTGTGAATTCCTAGATTTAGCTCACAAGTCGTAACTCCCTTGCTCAGATAGACCCGAACCTCTCTCTCTCTCTAGATTTCGTTGTTTAGATAATCACGATGTCGTGCTCTCACTAGTGGTTTCCCCTTTTAGTTAGTTAGACGCGCAAGGAGATAAGACACACTCCTAGATTGAAGATCAGACGTGTTTTTGCCTAAAGCACACGCCGCTCAGCGTTCTAAGCAGAAGCTCCTCGTTACTATAGTTGGTTACTCAAAAGCAAGCTATCTTAAGGAAACTTGTTTCAATTCATTTACATTCGCACGCACGTTTCTCGCGATCTTCGTGAACCTGAATTTGTTGCAGAACATAAATTTCAAAAGTTAAATGTATCATCGATAATATGCAACATTTATTTGTTCTACGATCATAAAAGATGTGACTCCGACGTGATCCATACAACAAAACTTGTTGATTTACGTTAAAAAGTTTCGTATTAGAAATAAATGTTTCCTAATGACTCTTTAAATTTATCTCTTAGAAATTACAGGTACTTTTTCAGAACTTTTTCTTCATCCAAATATTCATATAAAAAAGATTCTAAAACGTATCTATACGTTCCGTTCAAAAACACAAGTGTTTTATACGACACGGTTACACGCTTTTTAACGTTGAAACGCCGGAAAGTAGCCAGCGTAACAGCTGCTCCACTTACAAGTGACACTTTACAATGACGCATATATTTTTGCCGGTGCGATAATCCCAAGGCCGCATACAACCGTTTCCAGTAGTTACCGCATAAGTGGAAATTTTGCGAACGATTTCACGTTCACGATTCACGTTCACGTACTCGATTCTTTACAGGTTCTAGGCGAAATAGTAATTCCAAAGTTTTCAATATGCTTCTAATAACTTTTCGCTTCATATTCAATCCTCTAAATCGTATTAGATTTCGATAAAGAATAATTTTGCCCAGGTAACACTTGCAGCCAAAAATGTATATATACAATTTTCCAAATTACAATTAATTAAGTATACAAAATTAATATTGTCTAGTTATATAGCACCTGCAATCGAAATACAGTGTTCGAATAAAATAAGAGGAAAGTCGCAGGTTTTTCATTTTATCGAATACGGCAACGATGAGTGACGATCTGATAATGAGCGCGCACGCGTGCTACCTCGTCGAGTTCCCGTAATCAATTAACGAGTATAATCCGTTTTATTTCACGGTTACGGTGAATCGGTTTTGTTTTTTTGTCGAGCATCCTGTCTGATTCAGTTGCACACACCATTGCTAGCGGATTGTCATGGCCTTAATTAATTCGACGTGTCCAAATTGCTTATATCGTCGATTGACGCGAAACGCTTATTAAAATTATCTGCATATGACGATTTCATCGGCATTCTGACTCTCAGCAATTATCGTTAATTAAGTATTCCAAAGACGAAGATAGCGACCATGCGTAGCGAATTTCTATTAGCCTGCGTTCTCCAGTTGTGAATATACCTTTGCAAATGATATCCTTGCTTAATGAGTCGACGATTTATTCCAATTTAATTGTGCAAGTTATAGTTATATCCAAGTGTAACATACGGAAAGAGATTAATAAAATATATTTTCTGACTCGTGTATTTCTGATTATGGGTCAAGTACATTGCAATGGTTCATTATCGATCTATAAGTTTATTAGATCAGAATCTCTAGATCAAGGAGAAGGCACTTGTACCGGATGATCTCTCCAAAGAACTTGTTTGCGAATACTAAAAATAACAGCGTAGCGCGAGCTCTACGGTATTCCAGAGAGAATATTAATCTCATTCGTATCAATCTATATGCATATTAACCCAGAGGATAACCTCGGTAGCGGCACACCGACATTGATCTATTAAAAAAAATTCTTTTCATTGCGAGGTACGCGATGACTGAAACTAATTCCCCAATTTCCATAATTTTTTACACTCCCTCCCACACCCTGTTCTCTATACGTACATAGAACCAATAATTCCTTTCGTGACGGTGTTTCACGGCCCTGGAACCGTGACAAAGGATTCGATGCACCAATGCTGAGCATTGACATTGCAACATGGAGCAACAGGAGGTAACGAAGTGTGACAATCGGTAATTTTTCGGGATTAGGCAAAAATAAACGGGAAACGTATAGCACGGTTCTTCATGCAACTATATCATCGTCGAGATCCACTGATAAAATTTACAATGACTTAACTATCTGGTACTCTTTGCACGAGGAAACGATCTTACGTAATTCGATCATTTGCATCGATGATGCATCGCCGTGAATGGATTCGAACACGCGTTATCGCGTGGATAGGCCCACTGACGATAATTGTGCGTCTCATGAGCCTTCGATTGTTAACGTTAGTTAGCGATTGGTATCGTTAGACTTGGTTTAGCGCACTCACCGAAGCAACAACTAGAATTTTCATCGAGTTAATCCCAGTAGAAATTATCGTAACGGCCTCCACTGTTTTGGTGATTCGATGGGATATCAGTTTTCATATGCGACCGCAGTTAAATGGACCGCCACACGCGGGTAATGGAAACACGGGTTGGGTCATCGGATTTAATGATACGTCTAATATTTACAGCCTCTATTGTATTGCCATCTGGTGTTTGCTCTATATGCGAATTGGAAAATGTGGGCTTGCTTTAGAGTAGCTTGTTTGATGTTAATACAATTTTCATTCAATTCCTTGCATCTTTGAAATGATGATATTTAGGTGATATTTATTGCAGTTGCATCGCTACAGTGACGATGACAATGGCAATGACAATGACAATGTGGACATTTTTATTTGATTTTCCTTTTTTTGGAATATGGGAGGGGAAAGAAAAGGCTGTTGTATAGATACGTTTGCAAAAATATATAATTTCGTAAACTTCATGACATCTGTGATATCGACATGTGAAAAACGTAAAATGTGGGGTAGCTACATAAAAGCTCGTTCATGCAATTCGTATCTTTGAAATATCGACGACTATTACAATTTTTAACCTCTCGTATGTCATTGATGCTGCTACGACGACGATGATAATGTGAACATTTTTATTTGGTTTTGCTTTTCTGGATAAAAAGATAGGAAAGAAAAGGAAGCTACCGCAAAGATAAATTCGCAGACATTCGTAACGTCTTTCTTCTGAGGAAGAAATTTGTAGTTTCAAATAGTTTCATGCTGAAGCGTGCTGAAGTTGCTCATACATTGTAAAAATCTCTAGAGGGCAGATGATTAATATTCCCGACGATAGATGTAGCCGATAACCAGAGCAATGCATACAGAATACGCGAATCGTCCTCAACACAAAAGCCACAACAGCTCTCGCCGTGTTTTCCGCCTTCGTTCATATTAACAGTGAGTGAAGGAACAAGGAATCAGTGATGCAACGAGTCTTGGATTGATGTGTAACGCGTGTACGGCGCGAGGCGTGTTCTCAAAGTATGTAATCGTCGGCGAAGAATTTGCCGAAGGATTAATGCCCTTTCAACCGTTCGATTCAGAGGTGCTTCGTCTTCTCGGTCTAGCCATGTTTCATAATCGGTCGGCAGCCAGCGTGGCTAACCGAGCGCAGAATTTGTTTCGTAAATCAGCCGTGTAGAATCGACGAAACACGACGCGCGTACCCTTCTTAATGCGCCACGTGAGATTTACGACCTTCGTCGAGGAATGCTTCTCGAAATGGTAAAAATGACGAACTTGACTCGTCGAATCGTAGATTCTCTGTGTATTTGGTTTCCGTAAGTTCTACCATGTCATCGTCTCGTGTCATTT